TATATTGTTTTGAAATGTCTCGCCTCATGAACACGTTCCTTATTTCAATATTGTATTCAATTCCACCCATGACTGTACACAACATTTATATATTTACATGTATACGACGGCTACATGGGCAAGTATAAAGGTAAACACAAACGTGTGTTTGTTTAACATTTTTGTGTGTTGAAACACTGTTATATTAAAGGGAAATATAACCATTTAGTCTGTTCGGGTAACCAATTCTAGCTATTATTTCCTGAATAAAATATTATCTACTTCAGGCATACACATATTGTTTTGTGTCATGTGACACCAGATGTTGTTATCAACCAATACTCATAACGTAAAAAAACATAGAAATGTGAAACATCAATGCTAGAGAATAACCAAGTTCGATTTTCCAACGAAAAAAATTCCTTTTGGCGTGAACGTTGACAATAGCGGTACAAATATATTAATGGATCACTGAAAATCAGTGATGACGCAATTGTTTGCAAAAGTCTGTTGCCTCCGATGAATAGATGAAGTTATTCCGAAACAGTAAGCCCTTAGAAGTCTTGTTTGCCAGCCGGGACCATGTCAGTATATCAGGTGTGAAATGCATTTACACGTTGAACGCATTGACAGAGAGTATTAGTTATCTTGAACGGTTGGTGAAACCGCGCAAATCGAAACAGTTCATTTATGGTGTAGTATTTCCATTGGCAAATCAAAACAGTTCATTTATGGTGTAGTATTGTCCACATATTGATATAAGACTTTATCACTGTCTTCAATTCCAAAATGTTAGATTTAAACTTTCGGACCCAACACAAGCCAAACACAAGTATTTATAAAAATCCCTACGAGATTTTATTTCGTAGGGTGGGGGAGAGTTTATTTCGAGAGGGGCTGAACTGTACCGGTATAAATTCGCCGGGAGGGGGGGTGGGTGTGGGTGTGGGGGTGGGGTATTCTTGGGGCGAATATATTTCGTGACACCGGAACTACTGATGTAACTGATTTCAGAGATCTTATTAATCCTCGCAAACATTCGGTTTTAACACTAACTACGTAAAAACTGTCAACATAACCACGCCGTTATACTCTGATTAAAGATCTTAAATATATTCCTTAATACAGGCTACCATTTGAAAATGGTATCAGTGTAATACCAGGGGCTAGAATATCATGGTGCAACCAGGTTTCTGTTAAACATACAACATCATAACTATCTAATTCAGCACTGATTAAATCTACTTTAAAATCTACTAAGACTGCGTACGTTTACATGTATAATCTTTATAAGCAAAGTAACCCAAAATATAGATAATGTGTATCATCTTCCCGAAATGATTAGCATGTAGAATAGATTCAAAAACACCTGTATTGAACATCAACCGGCATCGTCAAAGCAAAGTGTACATGTAATTGTTACAATGGGGCTGGCGGTGAATATTAATGAAGAACATCTTGTTAAAAAGACACACCGAAACTGATTTGCATAACTGATGACCACAACATATTGCAAAATATCAAAATAGTAAAAATGATACAGTTTAACCTCACACTGAAGAGAAAACAAGAACGACACAGAAAAGTAAAATAGTACGTCTTATAGAACTGAGATAAAGTAATCTGAGAAGGGATTCATACGTTATATACAACTTAAAAATATAATATTATGAAAAACGAAAGGAAAAGTGGGCCCCCCTCCACCCCCCACCACACACCCCACACAAGTAACTAAATGTATAATTCAGAAAAAATAAAGGAGATAAAAAAAAAATGAATAAAAAAACACATAAACAAATTAACATTAAAACTATTGGCAACTGCATGGCAAGTATTTATAAAACGACCGGGGGAGGAAATATTCTGGGGGGAGATTTTATTTCGTAGGGTTGGGGAGAGTTTATTTCGAGAGGGGCGGAACTGTACCGGTATAAATTTGCCGGGGGGAGATTTTATTCTGGGGGCGAATATATTTCGTGACACCGGCAAGAGGACCCTGTTGATGATGTTAGGGGGAGTTCTGGGGGGGGGGATAGGAATGCAGTTAGCTGTTTCTCACTTCGAGGTTTTCAAAGACCCTTGTGCCACCCAGCACAGCACGGGTTATGCCCAGATGGCTAACGTCATACCTTTAACCCCTCCACAACATTTGAACTCGTCAATAGATCACCGAAACCTGGCCCTTCCCCAATAGTAGACTGCCCAAAGGAGAAACCATGGCAGTGCTCAGGAATTCTTCTCTACCTGACCCCTCTCTCCGGGTGAACTCAAGATAAGCAACCCAACCTATAACCCTCAGCTGGAATAGATGTATCGGGATATCTGGTTATAACTGACCACAGTGGTGCTGTTACCCCCTATTCATCATTAAATCTCTGTGCGCCACCTACAGTGCGCACCTTGCAAACTTGGCACCTCTGGTGGCCTGGCACTGGATGTAAGGTCAAATAACCCCAAACACTCTGTCCCCACTGGTGATATGTCACCAACCTATGTGTCAATTACGGTAGCATTTAAAGTATCTCACGTTGGATTGGGTTTCATGAGAGAAAAGTACAACAAAACTACCGAGACTCGCATACATTTCGTATCCGACACACGACACATACATGGAATAACATGTTGACGGTAAACTTCCACGCTAGCCGCACAAGGACTATGAAAACGCGTCAGAGGACGAAACAAGAACAACAAATGTCACCCAAACTCAGTACCCCACAATGACTTGCACAACAGGAACGGACTAAGATGAAAGGTCACTGAGATTTCGTTAAACAAACACATCAATAGCATACAACACGCGACACATACCTAGAATGGTGGCAGGTTTCTTGTCGAGGAAATAATGCCGCCGAGATGGGTTCTTGTCGAGGAAATAATGCCGACGAGATTGGTTCTTGTCGAGGAAATAATGCCGTCGAGATGGGTTCTTGTCGAGGAAATAATGCCGACGAGATGGGTTCTTGTCGCGGAAATAATGCCGACGAGATGGGTTCTTGTCGAGGAAATAATGCCGACGAGATGGGTTCTTGTCGAGGAAATATTGCCAACGAGATGGTTTCTTGTCGAGGAAACGATGCCGACGAGATGGTTCCTTGTCAAAGAAATGGATTGGTGATTCACTTAAAAGGTGGACATAAGCTGACGAGATGGAGTCTTGTCGAGGAAATAATGCCGACGAGATGGTTTCTTGTCAAAGAAATGGATTCGTGATTCATTTGAAAGGTGGACATAAGCTGACGAGATGGAGTCTTGTCGAGGAGATGGACACCTTGGTGCACTTGAAGAAGTGAGCTTAGCAAGAGCGAGTTCCCTGCCGCCACGGTCCCTTGGAGGTAGGCAACACGTATTTTCAGGATATCGAGAGGTGCCTGCCGCCACGTAACTTGATAACGTAAGTTAATTTTGTTGCCCGGACCGAATAGCCACCTTCTGCAGGGGATGATAGTCGGTTCCGTCATAAAGGACATGGGTGCCAGGAGTTATTGACGTTACAATAACAACAAAACAAGGAAATAAAAAGGACACGAGAGACATTGACATTGACACCGGTAGAGAACACACATACACTACAGACAAGTTGGCTAACGAACCGACAGGTACAATAGTCAACTATACCACGTTGGGGCCACCGAGAGATAATTGCAGTCCAGGTTGTAGTGCTTATTGGGCAGGTACACTTTCAATAACACATGACATGTCATGGCCTCTTATAAGACCGAACCCGATACACGGTAAAAAAACATGGCCAATCTAAAACGGCATATCACCAGTAGTGAAAGCTCACTCCCACGAGTCACCTATACAAGAGTTAACGTTAAGCCTATGGTGTTGATATTCTTAAATTAAAAACAAAACAACAACAAAATACCAAATAACAGACAGAAACAACGACTGTGACAGTCATATGTTGGCTGGCAACTCCTATGATAGACTTACATTTAGTCTCTCAAATCTTATATTACACAATATCCTTCTTGACTCTAAAAATAAAATAAAAATTCCCTATGCTTATTTCAGAATAGAGCTAGCTTGAGCTGGCTAGACTTGCTTTTGTATGCATTTCTAGATTATTATTTTTTTTATAAAATAAATATATTCCACGGTCATGGTGCAGGACTACTCCTATGGTCTCACCATGTCACGTACACGAATATAGACATAATATATTTACACAAACATCCATTGGGATACCTTTGAGTGAAGATTGTTGCCTTAGAATTATTAAACATTACATTGGTGTGTAACCCTTTCGAAATTTCCATCCTTCTTATGGTATTGAGAATTGAGAATCACATAGGTGTGTGTGGCTTTTCGCTCGGTCAGATACCAAAGAAAGTCCACTCGTTTCGTAAAAATGGTATCTAAGGAGAACCAGTGTAGTATTATCTATATATTTCACTCGAGTTATCTGCCTGCATAACACACCTGCATTCTAAATACATGGTAGCTATTTATCTCCCCTTGACATGGCCAGCGTGAATTTGTGTAATTGATTTGTCATTCGTCCAGCTGTGAGTCATTTGTTCGTGAGTTATGCACTTGATCCTGTTTTTGTTGTTGTTTAGCTTCGCACTCACGCAGGTTCCATTTACATAATATAATTAACTTATGCGACAGAAATGAGATTCAGCGCATCACGTGGACTCGTGCTGTGAAATGAGATTCAGCGTTTCTCGACAGCTGTTGACAACGGCCTGTTGCACTTGTGGACGTTTTTAAATGTTCGCCAATAACACGTGGCTATAAGACCCTATAAAGCTGTATAATAGACATTCTCTGACGCTGTGACATGCTACAACGGTTGTATATCTTACATAACTCCACGTGTTTTATCTTGTTTACACGTGACCATAGCCTGATAAAACAAAACGTGCTTATCGGGGAATGACCTAAAACTCGCAGCGGATTCTTCGCTTTGGTAAGAAGTACTAACCGATAATGTAATTTTTTCACTCCCCTGTTTTAGCAGCGGGAGACTTCGCTTAAATATTTATCGACTATTAATTTCGTCCCTGCAGGCACTTCCACGGTCCCACGCTTGGCAGTGTTGACTCTCAACATCCTTGAAACTAGGTTAAAAGAAACAAAACAACACAGCACGATCTGTGTCAGGCACCGAGTCTTGAACAGGCTGATTTCTTGTCATTAGGTGAGTAACTGTGTTTCTTCACTATAGAACTTATGATTTTCTTTTGCTACTTTATGTTCAAACCTTTTTTTCGTTATCATGTGGCCGTGTTTCGGCAATGCTCAAGCGTGAAGTCCAATGTTAATACCTCAGTGAATAGCCTACCGTGACGTATTTCCAGGAATTTCCCGCGAACAGGGTTTAAATAAAATGGTTTGTTCGTACATTTTTAAACAGGGTTTACGATATTAGTTTTGTTGTTTGGTTAAGAAACATATACCTCTGCAAATAGCCTTATTCACAAACGTGGTATCATTGGTTATTGATACAAACATACACAGCTTGTCAAAATATTCGGTTGATTTTGCTTTATTTTTATACTATTTCAACGCCCACGCTTTCTCATGATGTTTGTGAGTTTTGAGTGGTTTCGTCTTTAGATGAAAAGAAAAAACCCGCACACACTATAGAGGGTTAAATGTTGTTTATGGAATCATCTACTACCCAGTGTGGTTTAGGTGTGTTCGTTTTTTACCAGAACGCGATACTTATATATGTATCTTTATTGCTTTTTTGTATATAAGATAGTGGGTGAGTGAGTGGGTGAGCGAGTGAGTATGGTTTGACGCCGCTTTTAGCAATATTCCTGCAATATCACGGCGGGGGAGACCAGAAATGAGCTTCACACATTATACCCATGTCGGGAATCGAGCCCGGGTCATGGTACAAAAGTCAATTAGGTTGTAGTGCTTATTGGGCAGGTACACTTTCAATAACACATGACATGTCATGGCCTCTTATAAGACCGAACCCGATACACGGTAAAATAACATGGCCAATCTAAAACGCCATACACCAGTAGTGAAAGCTCACTCCCACGAGTCACCCATACAAGAGTTAACGTTAAGCCTAATGTGTTGATATTCTTAAATTAAAAACAAAACAACAACAAAATACATAATAACAGACAGAAACAACAACGACTGTGACAGTCATATGTTGGCTGGCAACTCCTATGAGAACGATCTTTGGCTCAGGGTCTCACCATGTCACGTACACGAATATAGACATAATATATTTTCGCTGTTACACAAACATCCATTGGGATACCTTTGAGTGAAGATGGTTTCCTGAGAATTATTAAAAATTACATTGGTGTGTAACCCTTTCGAAATTTCCATCCTTCTTATGGTATTGAGAATTGAGAATCACATAGGTGTGTTTGGCTTTCGCTCGGTCAGATACCAAAGAAAGTCCACTCGTTTCGTAAAAATGGTATCTAAGGAGAACCAGTGTAGTATTATCTATATATTTCACTCGAGTTATCTGCCTGCATAACACACCTGCATTCTAAATACATGCTAGCTACTTATCTCTCCTTGACATGGCCAACGTGACTTTGTGTAATTGATTTGTCATTCGACCAGCTGTGAGTCATTTGTTCGTGAGTAATGCACTGGATCCTGTTTTTGCTGTTGTTTAGCTTCGCACTCACGCAGGTTCCATTTATATAATATAAGTAACTTATGCGACAGAACGCATGACCAGTGTCTCTATGGTACTAAACCCTTTAGTGTGAGATTACAATAAAATACATTGTTTCCTACTAAACAAAGTCTAACAAAATCGTCCTCATTAAATGGGTACTAGACATAATTCATATAATTCACATAGTTGATTCAAACGGCGATAGCGCAACGATGCTGAATTAACGTGAAGTTCCTCGACACCACGTGCAAATCACGTGGACTCGTGCTGTGAAATGAGATTCAGCGTGTCTCGGGAGCTGTTGATAACGGCCTGTTGCTCTTATGGACGTTTTCAAACGCTCACCAATAACACGTGACTATAAGACCCTATAAAGTTGTATAATAGACATTCTCTGACGCTGTGACATGCTACAACGGTTGTATATCTTACATAACTCCACGTGGTTTATCTTGTTTACACGTGACCATAGCCTGATAAAACAAAACGTGCTTATCGGGGAATGACCTAAAACTCGCAGCGGATTCTTCGCTTTGGTAAGAAGTACTAACCGATAATGTAATTTTCTCACCCCCCTGTTTTAGCAGCGGAAGACTTTTACATTACATTTTTACACAGGGTTAACGATATTAGTTTTGTTGTTTGGTTAAGAAACATATACCTCTACAAATAGCCTTATATATGTATCTTTATTGCTTTTTTGTATATAAGATAGTGAGTGAGTGAGTGGGTGAGCGAGTGAGTATGGTTTGACGCCGCTTTTAGCAATATTCCTGCAATATCACGGCGGGGGACACCAGAAATGGGCTTCACACATTATACCCATGTCGGGAATCGAGCCCGGGTCTTCGGCGTGACGAGCAAACGCTTTAACCACTAGGCCACCCGAACGCCCCCTTATATAAGATAGATAAGCATGGGCTGCCATTCATTCCAAAATACAAAGTTGAAATAAAGTACGCAATAATAGTCAAATGTTACGAATAAAGAATGAATGTTACAAATAAAGGTCATTTTTTTACATACAAATAATGAACTCAAAATACGAAACAATGCCAGTGAACATCCTGCAAACAAAAGACGTCATTTGGAGTGAGTGAGTGAGTTTGGTTTTACGCCGCTTTTAGCAATATTCCAGCAATATCACGGCGGGGGACACCAGAAATGGGCTTCACACATTGTACCCATGTCGGGATTCGAACCCGGGTCTTCGGCGTGACGAGCGAACGCTTTAACCACTAGGCTACCCGACCGCCCCTCGTCATTTGGAAAGAAAGAACAATGTGTACTAAAGAACGTCAGTGCTCAAAAAGGACACCAGACTGCTGAAGGACAACGTTGACAATAAAAAAAAACAAAAAAAACGCCAGATGGCGCTGCAAATTGTAAAACATTCCGAGTTTAATCAGTTTGTTCCGCCGTGTATATGATAAATGCATGCTGAAGTGCTCATTGGTTACGTCATTCATCATGCACTCAGCGTGTGACGTCATATCCATTATGTGTAATATAACGCACGCGCGGCTCTGAGTACCTCAGACTACGCTATTTTTATTCAGGGGTGTAAAATGTTAATTTCATGTCTGATGGTGTAAATGTAACTGCAAATATTAAACCGATTCGAAAAAGAGACACAGCTAAGTATTGACCGAGATTTTGTTATGCATACAAAACAGCACATTTTGACACACCGATATATATATCGTTCGTTTTCACATATGATCGATTTATTGCACTTGATTTTATCCAGACCTGATGTATAAGCCCCGAAGACACATCACCCGCCCCCCATCATCCACACACATGCCCAGATATCCGTGGTCACTAATTTGCTTTTTTGTTTTTGAATTTTCAGAGATAATATCCCATATTTAAATTTCAAAACACACACGAGATGTAGCGATATGTACGATGTACCTAATTTTCAGAAGTCGTTTTTAGTAATCAAGCACCCCCCCCCCCCCCCCCCCCCCCCCCCCCTCAAAAAAAAACATTTGTATCCGAATGAGATGAGAGAAGGCGTTATGCTTTGAACTACGCTCCGATATTATTCGGCTTATTCTGTGATATCAGTAAACTAGTATATGATATAGAGATTACTACACGAGTAGTCTGTCAGATACAACTGATCTTACAACGAGTTGTTTCAAAACGCATCTAACGATCGAAAGCGAGTGAGATACGCCCTGTAACAACGAATTGTAAGATCAATGGTATCTAACAGGCACGAGTGCAGTACAATCTCATTAAAATCAGACCTTAGTTCTCGCTACCGCTGAACAAAGATCTGAGAACATCCCATTAGGGGTCACGTCAGAACGACCTTTCATCCGACCAATCAGAGCATCGCTTACCAGATTATGAAAGTGACAGTCGGAATGAGATTTCTAATCCTGCAACCTCGAAAACTTTAACTCCGAACGATAGTTACGGGTTTAACAACTGAATCCATACACTATAGACCATATGTTAGCCATTTCGGAATGTTCTTTTGTTCAGGTTTCAAATTTATAATCGAGAATTTGTCAAAATATGTTTCGAAGCGTAGTCGCCAATTTGAAATTAGTGCCGTAAAGCACGAGAAAGCTGCCTTCTGATTAGTCATTCCATTGGTCAGTCAAAGTTTGCGCAAGGTCGGTCTGACGTGACCCGTAATGGGATGTCCTCAGATCTTTTTTTAGCGGTAACGAAAACTAAGATCTGATTTTAATGAGATTGGAGTGCAGTAATGTGTTTCTTACACACCCTAAAATCGCACCGATAGAACCGATGCAATTTGTCTAGCCTCATGATTGCCGTAGCCCACTAATACATAACACTACTGTCATAAGTGACGTCACCCTTTGTACTGCTTACTACTCATAAATAATGTGACCCTACACAAAAAGGTTTCCGCCATATCTGTAGATTATCAAGGCGATGATGATAATGCAAACTAGACAAAAACAAAGAACACCCTGGGTGCCGAGTTAAAAGTTTACGCCTCAAAGAAATTACCAAATATGTACAACAATGTTTACTTCCGTATGACATCACTACCGGTGACCGACTTTTACAAAATGGCGTGTTCACTGACAACAGTCCGCGGGATTTCCAGAGGAGGATTTTCGTTGATTGAGGGATCGTATATATACTCACACGCAAAAGAAACGCAAGTGGTTTTAAGCAAATAGGTAACAAACACGGAACCATAAATTTATACGAGTTTTAGCATGTAGTGAAGCCTGATGGTGTTATCAATATTTTTTGTTGCTTTTTGATAGCCCCGAGTAAAAAACGCAACATAGAAAACGAATCGCCAAAACGCACCATTTCAATGAATATGTGGGTATCATGCACCCATTTCTCGCGAAATCGAAAATGCACGAACTGTCACGACCTGTTGTGGGTATAAAACTGTGGCCGATTCTTGGACCGTCTCCTGCATCGATACAATGCTACACAGACCACAGCTGACCTTGCTCGGAGCGGTCGTCCTAGGGTCACCACACCTCGACAAGATCGGCAGATTACCCGTCAACACCAGCGACATC